GGAGGTGGCTGACGAAAAAACTAAACTCTAGGCTTGTTATATATATAAAATTATAGAGGTAGCAATTAGGTTTATGGAAACCGACTATTGAATATGGGTTACGAAATATTTTTGGCCCAAACCCAATTTATTTGTTCATAAAATCGTGATGGCAAATGATGTAATTTTGAGATTCATTAAAGGTATTTTCGGCAGAGCAAGTCTTAAACTCGCTGTAGAGTCGCCACATAGGAAAAGTGACTTTTGTTTTATAAATATAGATATAACAAATTGGCAAAAATAGAAAGAAAGGAAGTGTTGGAGACCCTCAAATTCTTTTGGAGACTTCTTTACTTCAATAACCAGAATTCGGATAGTTTGGTTCGGATAGATTAAATTCGGGTAATTCAGATAGTTTGGTTCGGATAGTTCGATTAATCGGGATAATTGAAATTTCTACCGAAATTAACCGGTACGATGAAGTTAAGATTGGATTAAATTGCCAAGGCCCTAAGGTAATCTAAAAAAAAGCAACGAGAAATAAGATGAAACGAAAGCAGCAGCAAGACGACGACGCAGTAGACTCTTGTGCCAGTAGTAGCTCCTCCAACTCCATGAATACTGCTGACTTGGTTTTGCAGTCACCTTCCTATCTGTCACAGAAACAGGACTACATCTTCCATGGAGGTCCAATGTTTTTTTTTTTACTTTCTCTAATCGGATCGGCTTCTTGTTTCTAATTGCTTGATTCTGTTCGTGCAGGGAGGCGCCATGTGAGACCCTACTACTTCGAGTTTATATCTCATGTAAGTAATTTTCTCTTTCTTAGCCCTAACTAATTCTCTCATCTAAGTAATTTCAATTGTATTTGTAGGTGAATAAACGCTGGGCGGGGAAAACAATTCTTGATTTGTTCGCCGATGAATTCAAAGGCCGACCTCGTGAATATTATGTATGTTCCTTCCTGCTCATCATCTCAAGGAATTAGCCATCATGTTAAGTTTTGGTGTTTTGGGATCTTGATGTGCTCAACTATTGCAGCTTGGTGCAATCAAATGTGGTAGAATTAGAGTTGATGGAGAAATTGTACCCGTTTCATACGTTGTGAGATCATCCCAAAAGATCACCCATTTCCTCCACAGGTTGTCCTTAAGCTTAACCTATTTAGCAGATAGATGGTTGCATCTTGCAACTGGTTTGATCAATTTCTATAAACCTCTGGTTTTTGCTGCTTTGCTTTTTGAATTCGAGATGCGATTCCGTGCTTGTTCTTTTTCCTACTTACGAGTAGTATCTCAGTTTTTGAATGTATATTTAATTTAAAATGTGTGAATGGTTTCAGGCATGAACCACCGGTGATGACTGACGATGTCATGATCCTTGTGAAAGAACCCGACGTAGTTACTGTCTGCAAACCAGCTTCCATTCCTGTGAGTATTCCATTTGATAGTTTTCACTTCACGTGGTCGGTCTTTGGAGAGGAAACACATTGGGGGCATTTGCTGGAGAATGTGAAACACGTTCTGTTTAGGATGATTGAATTAGACTCTACGCCAAATTAATATGGCTTTCTTCCTGTTAGTACTATTTGAAGCGTTAGTGTATATCAAACGCTGTGTATACAAAATTCACCTTGTATACATGCTTTATGCCTTTGTGGTGTGAGATTGATATTTTGGTGACAGAGCCCAGAGCCGATGTGTTTCTTGTTTGTATAGGTGCATCCATGTGGTCAATACCGTAAGAACACGGTTGTTGGAATCCTTGAGGCTGAGCATGACATGGGCCCTCTATTTCGTATCCAGCCAACAATATTAGACGAGAACACATAGCCTTAATTTACCCTTTTTTTTTTTAAAATGATACAATACGAGTTATCCTTGCATCATTTCACAGCTATTCACCGATTAGACCGTTTAGTTTCTGGATTGCTCATCATAGCAAGAAATGCTGCAAAAGCTGATTTTTTCAGGCAGCAGGTACTCTTAAAAGTTACTCGCATTTGCTTGCCTATACCATAATTCCTATATTATCGTAATAAGATGCCATGGCTGTAGTAAATTAAGATATCATCTTAGTACCTATCTTTAATTGTTTCAGATTGAGGGTGGAATGGTGAAGAAGCGTTATATTGCAAAGGTTATTGGGGTGTTCCCAGAAGATGAGGTTTGAATTCCTTTTGACGTTATTGATGATTTGTGGACTGTTTCTAATTACTAACTTCATATACTGCTACACGAATGATACTCACTATGGTATTAATCTACATTAAAACTGATGTGATGCTAGTAATAATATCTTCAAAATCTACCAACTTATCTTGAGGGAGTTAAAATATGGTAAAGACTTGGGGCTTTGGTTTGAAAGTTGTTTGATGTAGTTGCATTGCATGACTTTGATGTGCCAGAAAATAGTTGAAGCCAACATAAATTATAATGGCAGCGAAGGAAGAAGCACGGCAGAGGTAAAGCGACATTATGCCTATAGATATAAAGCATAATGTTTTCCATTTTGACACGTATAAGTAAAATATCAGAATTTGTATGACTTACGCAGGACGCTAAATCTAGTGGTGATGATAAGAAGGTGAAGGGGAAGCCTGCGTGTACCAAGTTCACTAGAATCGATACAAATGGGACTCATAGCCTCGTCTTGTGTGAACCAGTGACAGGGCGAACTCATCAAGTAAGCAAGTGATTATACATAATACATAGTGCAGAATTTTATCAGCCATTACACATAAACTCACAAAGCTTCAATCTTTAGATCTTATTAGACATGAGAAGAGTAGACAGAGAGAGTTTGGCCTTTTTTTTGGGGTTTCTCATTTCGTTTTTGACGATTGTAGATTCGAGTGCATCTACAATATACTGGACATCCCATAGCAAATGACCCACTTTATCTTAATCAACACATGGATAATCTTGAGACCTTGATTGCAAAAAGAATTGATGCGGGTGAGAAAAAGATGGTCTCCCCAGATGACTACGTGTATTCCAGTGAAGATTTCAGCATCGATCCAATGTGCACGAACTGCCCAAAGTTGATCCCACAAGGGTAAAAAGACAAAAAAAACATCTGTGTTCTTGTTGCATTGAGCCAAAAGGTGTCTCATGTTTCTAAATTATGCAGGTACGAGGAGCATGACGAGGCTCTTTGGTTACATTGCGTTCGATACTCTGGAACGGGCTGGGAATACGAGTGTCCTTATCCATCTTGGGCATCCCTTTAACTCATTTATTTGCCATACCCTGTAACACTTATCACCAACATTTGTTGCAACTGTATGGTATACGGGTTCTACTAGTATGTGCTGATTCATTGGATTCATAGATTCTTCTCTCTCTCAAAATTTATATAGTTTTGTGTCATTATCATCTGAAAGTGTATAAACAGAAAACCACTTTGAAACTGGGATCAGAGAGCCGAACAAGTAGCAAAATACATTACATATTAGATATGAAGCGACTTGTAGTTGCTCTCATACTGTATCTTTTGTTCAACCATGTCATCCTAAATTAATTTGATTTTCACAAGGCTTTTAAAAAACTAA